GGCTCGAGCGACAAACTTCTCGCTCGAGCGAAAGACAAAAAATCTGGGCAGCAACCATTTGCTCCCAAACACTCCCAACCTGTAACAAACCTGCTCAACACATCCTATAACTCAAAAGTAAGGAATTAAAGGATGACAACAAGATATGAACAACAATCAACATCCATGGAAACAAGTCTGGTTCACTATACACAAAGGGGTAAAACCCGGGATCGCTATAAATTGAATCAACCCTTTTTTAATTTTATTCAACTTCCATTTTTGTTCAACTTCCAAATAGAGCGTTAAAGTATAGTGGTTTCTTAACTCAACTTGCGTTTTTTTTCAACTTTTTTATTTTTATTTTTATTCAACTTCCATTTTTAATTTTATTCAACTTCCATTTTTATTCTACTCCCAAATAGAGCGTTAAGGTATGCAACTTCCATTTTTATTCAATTTCCAAGTGGAGCGTTAAGGTATCAGTGGTTTCTTGAATCAACTTGCGTTTTTGTTCAACTTGCTTTTTAATTTTTGTTCAATTTCTATTTTTATTTTTATTCAACTTCCATTATTATTTTCATTCAACTTCTATTTTTATTTTTATTCAACTTTCATTTTTATTTATTTAACTTCCATTTTTATTTTTATTCAACCTCCATTTTTAATTTTATTCAACCTCCATTTTTACTTATTCAACATTTATTTTTATTTTTATTCCACTTCCATTTTTAATTTTATTCAACTTCCTTGTTTATTCAACTCTCAAATAGTACGTTAATGTATAGTGATTTCTTGAATCAACTTGATTTTTTATTTAACTTTCAACTAAAATGTTAAAGTATCAGTGGTTTCTTGAATCAACTTCCATTTTTATTCGACTTGCATTTTTATTTTTATTCAGCTTCCATTTTTAATTTAATTCAACTTCCATTTTTATTCGATTTCCAAATAAAGCGTTAAAGTATCTGTGGTTTCTTGAATCAACTTACGTTTTTATTCAACTTCTATTTTTATTCAATTTTCATTTTTATTCAACTTCCAAATAAGACATTAAAGCATAAGTGGTTTCTTGAATCAACTTGCGTTTTTATTCAATTTCAATTTTTAATTTTATTGAACTTGCGTTTTTATTCAACTTCCATTTTTAATTTTATTCAACTTCCATAGTTATTTTTTTTCGACTTCAATTTTTAATTTTATTCAACTTTTATTTTTATTTAACTTCCATTTTTATTTTTATTCAAGTTCCATTTTTAATTTTATTCAACTTCCATTTTTATTTTTTTTCAAATTCAATTTTTAATTTTATTCAACTTTAATTTTTATTCAACTTCCATTCTTATTCAATTTCCCAATAGAGCGTTAAGGTATCAGTCGTTTCTGGAATCAATTTGTATTTTTATTAAACTTCCTTTTTTATTTTTATTCAAGTTCCATTTTATTTTTATTCAACTTCTATTTTTATTTATTTTACTTTCATTTTTATTTTTATCCAACCTCCATTTTTAATTTTATTCAACCTCCATTTTTATTTATTCAACATTCATTTTTATTTTTATTCAATTTCCATTTATAATTTTATTCAACTTCCATTTTTATTCGACTTCCAAGTAGACCGTTAAGGTATAGTGGTTTCTTGATTTAACTTGCATTTTTATTCAACTTCCATTTTTATTCAATTTCGAAATAGAACCTTAAGATATAGTGGTTTCTTGAATCAACTTGCATTAAAGTATTAGTGGTTTCTTGAATCAATTTGCATTTTTATTCAGCTTCCTTTTTTATTCAACTTCCATTTTTATTCAACTTCAAAATGGAGCGTCAAGGCATCAGTGGTTTCTTGGATCAACTTGCATTTTTATTCAACTTTCATTTTTAATTTTATTTAACTTCCATTGTTATTTTTTTTCAACTCCAATTTTCAATTTTATTCAACTTTCATTTTTATTCAATTTCTATTTTTATTCAATTTCCAAATAAAGCGTTGAGATATAGTAGTTTCTTGAATCAACTTGCATTTTTATTCATCTTTCTTTTTTATTCAATTTCCATTTTTAATTTTATTGAACTTCCATTTTTATTCAACTTCCACTTTTATTCTACTTCCAAATAAAGCGTAAAAGTATAGTGGTTTCTTGAATCAACTTGCATTTTTATTCAACTTCATTTTTTATTTTTTTTATTCAACTTCCATTTTTAATTTTATTGAACTTCCAAACCAAGCGTTAAAGTATCAGTGGTTTTTTCAGTCAACTTCTATTTTTATTTTTATTCAACTTCTATTTTTATTCACCTTCCATTTTTATTCAATTTCCAAATAGAGTGTCAAGGTATAGTGGTTTCTTGAATCAACTTGCATTTTTATTCCATTTTGATTCAAGAAACAAAAGTTGATTCAAGAAATCACTATATGGAAGTTGAATAAAAGCATAAGTTGATTCAAGAAACCACTGATGCCTTAATACTCTATTTGGAAATTGAATAAAAATAGAAGTTGAATAAAAACGCAAGTTGATTCAAGAAACAACTAATGCTTTAACGCTTGATTTGGAAGTTAAATAAAAAAAGAAGTTGAATAAAAGCGCAAGTTGATTTAAGAAACCACTGATACTTTAACACTCTATTTGGAAGTTGAATAAAAAAGGAAGTTGAATAAAAACACAAGTTTCTTTATTCAACTTGCATTTTTATTCAACTTCCGTTTTTAATTTTATTCAACTTCCATTTTTATTCAACTTCCAAATAGAGCGTTAAGATGTAGTGGTTTCTTGAATCAATTTTCATTTTTATTCAACTTCAATTTTTATTCAATTTCCAAATAGAGCATTAAGATATAGTGGTTTCTTGAATCAACTTGCATTTTTATTCAACTTGCATTTTTATTTTTATTCAACTTTCATTTTTAAGTTTATTCAACTTCCATTTTTATTTTTATTTAACTTCCATTTTTATTGAACTTCCATTATTATTTTTATTCAACTTGGAGGTTGAATAAAATTAAAAATGAAAATTGAATAAAAATAGAAATGAATGTTGAATAAATAAAAATTGAGATTGAATAAAAATAAAAGTGGAAGTTGAATAAAAATAAAAACGGAAGTTGAATAAAAACCAAGTTGAGTAAAAAGGGAAGGTGAATAAAATTAAAAATTGGAGTTGAATAAAAATAAAAATGGAAGTTAAAAAAAATTAAGAATAGAAGTTGAGTAATAACGCAAGTTGATTCAAGAAATCCTTGATGTCTTAATGTTTTATTTGGAAGCTGAATAAAAAACGATGTTGAATAAGAATGAAAGTTGTATAAAAATGCAAATTGATTCAAAAAACCACTGATACTTTAACGCTTTATTTAAAAATTAAATAAAAATGGAAGTTGAATAAAATTAAAAATGAAAGTTGAATAAAAATAAAAATAAAAATGAATGTTGAATAAATAAAAATGGAGGTTGAATAAAAATAAAAATGGAAGTGGAATAAAAATGCAAGTTGATTAAAAAAAAATCACTGATACTTTAACGCTTTATTTGGAAGTTGAATAAAAATGAAAGTTGAATAAAATTAAAAATGGACGTTAAATAAAAACGCAAGTTGATTCAAGAAACCACTGATACTTTAACACTCTATTTGGAAGTCGAATAAAAATGAAAATTGAATCTCTATTTTGAAATTGAATAAAAAAAGAAGTTGAATAAAAACGCAAGTTGAATAAAATTAAAAATGGAATTCGAAAAAAAATGAAAAATTGAAGTTAAATAAAAATGGAAGTTGAATAAAATTAAAGTTAGAAGTTGAATAAAAATGGAAGTTGAATAATATTAAAGCTGGAAGTTGAATAAAAATGAAAGTTGAATAAAATTAAAAATGGAAGTTGAATGAAAATGTAAGTTTATTCAAGAAACCACTGATATTTTAACGCTTTATTTTAAAATTGAATAAAAATAAAAATAGAAGTTGAATAATAATGAAAGTTGAACAAAATTAAAAATTGAAGTTGAAAAAAAATAACAATGGAAGTTGAATAAAATTAGAAATGCAAGTTGAATAAAAATGCAAATTGATTCAAGAAACCACTCACTACTACAAAAACAGATAAAGATCACACTTTTTTTGTGTGATGTATGTTATTTAATCATACCTTTTAAGTTTTATTAAAGTGTGATCTTTGGGGGTGTGATCTTTGGGAGTGTAATTAAAAGGGGTTATTTTTAATCACACTTTTTAAGTGTGCTTAATAACATTTAGATCACACATTTTAAGTGTGATTAAAAATAATTAGATCACATCTTTTAAGTGTGATTAATAACATTTAGATCACACATTTTAAGTGTGATTAAAAATATTTAGATCACATCTTTTAAGTGTGATTAATAACTAATAAAATTTGTGATAAAAAAAAGATTCGATATATTTGAAAAATAATCAATATTATTTTTGTATGAATATTTGAAGAATGTAATACATACTATATACTATACTTTGAATCATAACCACATATTGAATGGAATAACGTCACATATTTCATAAATAAAAATTAAATGTTCAAAAGCATATACAAAGGAATTAAATAAAAAAAAAAATTTAACTGTGCTTACATATATTAAAAAATGAAAAACCTTAAAAAAAACTAAATTCTTTAATTCTTTGACCATATTTTGCATCTCTTCAAGAAATTTCTGACCTGAAAAATGAAAACACAAATTAATAAGAAAGCAGACATGAAAATAGACAATTTAGAAACATTTGTATGAAATCTTAAATGTGATAATTACTGAATGATCAAGTTGTAGTGACAGAACGTTTACGTTTACAACGAAACACCCATGATTGCACACCAATTTCCAAATTTACCAAGGCAGCTCCAAGATCGGTGCCTATACTAACCAAAAGTAAAAACAAAACAAATAGGAGCAAAACATGAAATATTAGTCATTTAACACAGTCCTGATTGTCATTTTCAATAGCGCCACAACCTGTTTGTTACGCCCTCAAAATAAACCCATAATATCAAACAATCACGATAAAGAAAAGGAATCTCATATTATAATCATCAGAGTATTCTTACAAGAAGTATTACATGTTGGCGACGAAAGTAAATGCCCTATTGGCTTACAACTTTCCAAGTCAACACATAGTTAGAAAAGAAGAGAGTACTAACTCTGCACAAAAGAAGCCCTTGGCTTGATATACATGTAATACAACAAAAATTAACAAAAAAGAGTCTTTAACTCCCACAACGATCCATGCTAAGATCTCGGAGGCGGCATAGTACCTGAACCTGAAAATGATGTCCCATATAGGGTGAGCGACAGCCCAATAGAAATATGTTAAACCAACTATAAACAATGACTAAAATAATAGCATTCAATAGATGGTCCACATTTATATTCCAACTCATATCGTATTACAGTTTCATGACAATCATGTCCATGTTACATATCATTTTCCATTTCTTATTCGACTTTTGAGTTCGAAAACAAGGCTTAGAACCTGGCCAAATAACTTAATGAGATAATAACTCATCATTAAAACCCTTTTTGAAATTCATGATGAATACACATTTTGATGTTGTATCAATAACACATAAAACCACTCCCATGCTTTATAAATGATACACATTTTAGTGCTGTATCAATAAAACATAAACACTTCCATACTTCACAAATGATACACATTTTAGTGCTGTATCAATGGAGGCCATCCTCTATCTCCTCCCAAACAATATCCGGTTTAGAGATACATCCTCTATCTTCCCTAAACCGTGGAGTACATCCCCTATCCACTCCCAGCTATAAACCGGTTTAGGAGTACATCCCCTATCTTCACTAAATCGTGGAGTACATCCCCTATCCACTCCCACACAATACATTGTATCTAAACACATATCATATACATAGTCAATCAATACATAAATTTGATGTATTATTCCAACCGTTATATTCGATGACATTTCCAATTGATTAGTTTTAGTTCACCTAATCATCATGCATTGTCTACAACAATCAAGACTATCCTCCACCGATAGCGTCCGAGTTCTGTCAAAGCAGGGGCAACTTAGACACCCCGTTTTGACCGCCTTAAGACTTGGGCACCACTGGATGTTTTACTTCGGTTGGAGAAAGGTGTGCAGGGGCCAAATGTTCAGTTTTCTTCAGCAAGAGAGAGGGAAATCCTTCACAAACATTTTGTTTGGGGTTTGGAGTTGAAGAAGAAGAGGAAAGGAGAGGAGAAAACTAGTTTTGGGAGAAGTTCGGCGAATCCGGGTTAGAAGCGAGTCGAGCAGCCTCGCTGAACGGGCCTTCATGCTGTCTGTTAACACTTGGCTTTTAGCTATTGGGCCATCACTGTCCGAAAAGCTTACTTCCGGGCTTCATTGTTGCACTCAAGAATCTCTTAAAGCCAAAGTCCGGGTGGGGGAGATATGAGCCAGCTGAAGTTTGGGCATACTCCAGAGGTTAGAATCGAATCTCGCGCGCTTCACAAAATGGGCATTAACTTTTTCCACAGGAGGATTTTAATGCATGGTTTACGCCATTGGGAAAGCTAACCTTCCGGGGCTTCATCATGGACATCACCGGCACTTTGTGAACCTCATCAGACAACACCATCGGCACTTCTATTTATCGACCGGCCAGTTATAAATTGCAGGTCGACAATATATTGGCCCGACCCGGTCCATTTTATTTTGCCATGACCTCCTTCATGGCCGATATGACCCTTTTGCACCCTCAAGTCCATGGTGCATGAGCTGTGCCAGCTATTCTCCATTCAAACCCTCTGCTTCCGAGATTTTGCCTTTTGGGCGGGAAATTTGAACTTGGTTTTTGTTCCCCCACCTTTTTCTTGCCTCTCCTCCCTCTATATAACCAGAGCCCTCCACCACATTTTTAAGGGTTGAAGAAAACCAGCTGAGGCCCATTATAGATACAACCCTATATTATACATTTCACCCCCTCTTCCAAGCTCTAAAGTCTCAATTATCCTTGGCCATTTACACACCACACCATAGGCACAAGGCCTCCATCCTCCATTCCAACCATTTGAGGCTAATTTTCAGACGGTTAGAGCTCCGTTTCTTGGATCAAAGGCTTGCTGCATTGCTGCTCTTTAAAGGGTGGGTCACTCTACTTCCCTTTCTAGCTTCTTTTGCATGTGCTTTCTTAGCCACTTGCTTGCTGTTTTGGGCTCCCGACAACCCTAAACTGGAAACTAAGGCCCTTCATTTTTGGAGCCTATTTTCATGTTTTTTTAAGGGCCTCTCAACTTTTGAAGGCCTCTCCTTGTTTGCCTGCCTTCAATTGCCTTCCTCTTTGTATATGCCATTTTCTTGTGTGGTAGTATTTTTGGCCTATGTATAAATTATTTTGAGGATGTAATTAAACTTGTAAAGTGGGGCTCCCTTTATTGAGCCCTTCTTCCAATATTGGTTGTTGGAAGGGTTCCATCCACTGTTTTTGAGCTTCTTATTCTTCCACTTTCCTTTTAAATCTTTTTTGGTTCCATTTTTGCATGACTTTATATTAGCCCTCCTTGTGCTTCCAATTTTTGGACCTCTAGTTACGGAAAAACTTAAAGATGGAATTTTATTTTTGAACCCCTCTTATATTTCCTTAAAGTCATTTTTAACTGTTTGAGGCATTTCCTTTTTGTACTTATTGTATTTTAAATTCTTTTTTTTGGCCTTTGTCTTTGCATAGAGTATTTTTGAAGCATAACTTGTTCACTGTTTTGGCTCGTTCAAAAACCCTGTTAAAATGTTCCTTATTTTGGGCCCCTCTTCACTTTGTTTGGAAGGGCCCCTTCTTTTTTTGGAGTCACGGCTGTTCAACTTGCTTCATAAGCTTGTGCTTTCGGGGCCATTTTGCATGCTAAGTTTAACCCCCATTTGCATTCGCCTGTTTTGACCTTGCCTTAGAACTTTGTAAAATGTGGGCTATTTTTGGCTTTCTGAACTCGTCTTCTACATTCTCCCATGTTCAAATTAGTGTATGCTCTTTGTATAGCCCTTATGGGACCCCATGCGCAATGCGCCCTAGTTTTGAGTTTTTCGGGATTTCGTTCTCAGACAAATCGGGGTTTGGGCATATATTGGCCACTGTTTCGGGGCCTGTTTAAGCATCATGTTTTAGTGGCTGGAATTTTCAATGTTTGTCATGCCCATTGTTCCATGTCTGCCATTGCTTTTTGATAAGTGGCATTTGGTTAAAACCCTAGGGTCGTCCTCGGTTTTGCGTACAAACGCGTAACACTCGAGTGGTCTCATTTTTCCATCTTAAATTGGCCCAACTGATGGTGGTGCGGCCCTGGAGGTCCACTCAACATTGGTGTAGTCCATTCTTGCAATTGTGCTATGCCCCCCATGTTTTCAATGTTGTTGTGGACATTGTTATGTTGTTAGCCTTTGGGTGTGTTGCCCATGTAGTTGTATTGGCTGTTTTATACTGTTTTGTTTGCATGCCTTAGGTGCGCATGTGCAATATGTTGTGCTTTGCCATGGTCGCCTCGTTGACCAACCATGGATTTGGGGTGGCGTCCCTCTGTAGTTTTTTGGTGTGCAATTTCATTTATGACAATTGAAATGCATTACTTGACTCTTTAAGCCATTCATGCATCGAAATGCCTGGATTTGGTTGGCCCCCCGAGGGTCCCCCGAGGCCATGCTCCCCCTTTGAGTCATCTACATGAATAGGGAGTTGTTGGTCCCAATGCATACATTTGGCTAAAATTCCATGTCATACACCTGCTTGCCCCCCCCTCCTGCTGCTGGCAATTGCAGGGTTCTGCAGGAAGCTTTTTGGCCGGCCCGTTTAATACAGATGCCGACCGGCAATCTATCACTGGCGATAACTTCCATCACCGCCCCGGTGACCATTTTCCCATGGCCGGTGGCCATCCCTCCCAGCCGGTGGTATTCCCCCCAACATCCAGGAGAACCTATTCCAAGATGTGCAGTCTTCAGAGGAGCTTAGGCAGATGTAAAACAGAGGCAATAGGCTTATGGCAGCGATTTTTCCAGGCAAGACGAGTCAAAACATACATCATTCGTAGCATCGAGGGCACGGCTACGGGGCCATCTTCTTTCTGCATTTATTTGTTAATTAATTAAGGGTCTGTAATAATTATTAGCTAGAATAGTTGATTTGTTATTCGGACTGTAGTTATTTCTTTTCGGACCCTCCGAGTGAGGGCAATTTTGTTAATAAGTGTTGCGTGAGTGGTGTTGGCCATGGTTCTTCCCAAACCCCACGTCTTTCTCCCTTTTATTTACCCGCTTATGATGGTAGACTTAGGGCATACTTAAATAGGCATAACTTGATGCTTATGCATGCGTACATCTACAGTTTGTCCTTACATGCACCGGGCTGGCGCATCATTCTAACTGCATTGTATTTTCAATTCCAAATTCGAATAACGTGTTATGTTGTTAGCATTTTCACAGTCATTATAGATTAGCCGAGGCCTATCTTAGTTGCATCTTGCATGTGTGCATTAGCCATGCTTAAAACATGAACTTAGGATCAATGCTATGATTACTAACTAATTTCTGTTTGGCTTGGAGTACTAGGTTAGACTTTTTATGCCTTTAGCATCCTTGCATGCGTGTGGAGTGTTGCCATGACAGTATGGATTAACCATGAAGCTAGCTTGCTTATTGTTTGATATAACTGGCTTGAGATGCCTGATGGATGGAGGTTGGAATTAACCTAAATTTGAATAATGCATTAAAACTGTGAGTTTTAAGCCCACTAGATAGTGGCCCAAAAACCATCTTTTCTAAAAGCCCACTTGAGGGGCAAAACCTACATTTTTAGCCTACTTGCGAGTAGCAAAATCCTTTTTCAAACAAAGCATGCAATGTTTTTGTTCCAATTCAGGCGATCCAGTCTATACTTGTATGCTGGTGCGGCATTCCACATAGTAAACTAGGCTAATAACCGGAAATAAGAAACGACATAAAATTTTTCAAAACTAGATATCATGGTTAGTAGAGGCCGATCTTTGATCGCGCGAGGCAGGGGGTGCTCACGAAGTGACCTTCCCCAAATCGTTACCCAAGTTCCCGAGCCGAGGCAACTTTTGTGATGGACGGACACGTGGCCTTAGGCAAACGAGTCCAGGGGTTTCCTAAATTTTCCCAAACATAAAATATTTAAGTGGCGACTCTGTATCTGCCAAAGCAGTCCTGTTTGGCACTTCTTGTCAAAATCTTGTTTTCTCAAAAACGATTTGCCGGATTTGGACTCTTCATTCAAGATTTAGAACCGTGACATTTTGAGG